AGTCTGTCTCATCAATGATATCACGAACTCCAGTTGGGAGCTCACTGTAACAATCTCGAATGGTCGTTGTGCCATAGCCTCTGAAGGCGCGGGACTCGTCCTGTGATAATGCATGAGATGCAATCAGATCAAACAATGAAAAGTACAGTCGAATATAAAGCAGTGATGATAGTACAGTTGGATCAAGGCAGTGCATGAGATCAGATCAAAACAGTGCAAGAAATGCAAACAGTTAAGGGTAGTACTGCAGAAAAATAGTTTTCGTACCTCTGCAGCGATGGCCGACAAATGAAACGTTGGCTCCCTCAGTAGGAGGTCCTCTGGCGCGTCCTCAGCAAAGTTAGTAAAGGATTTGATGCCTCCTGCAGTGGGTACTATGTGAGTCTGAGGATGGTACCTCACTGGATCGAAGGGGCGTATGCTCGGCGGTAATGGCTCTGGCTCGGCCTCAAAGTTCGCCTCGAAATCTACTAGAGGAAGCTCAAGGAGATCTCCGTCATGAGGAACATCGTCCGTAATCTGAATAGGTGCAAGATGAGTAAAAAATGAGGAAAAGTGAAGAAAAGAGGAAAACTTTGAAAAAAAATCAACCCTGGGAGAGAGAAAAAGTCAAAGAAAGTCAAAGCCGGGAAAAGTGTACAAACCTCGAGAGAAACTCAAGGGGAATAAGCCTAGAATGGTGGGAATGAAGAAAGAAGAGTTGAAATCAAATTCCAATCGGTTCAAAGTGAAGAGAACTAGGAGGGTTTCGCGAATAAAGTTTGTATAGGGTGTTGGAAAACGCATAGAAAGCATAGATCTAGAGAGAAGGAGCACCTAGAGAGCAAGAGGGAGGAATTTCGGACATGGGGTTATGTGGAAATGAAGTGGCATGCTTTGTTTATAAAGACCTAGATGTGAAAAGTCAAAATTGCCCAAATCTGCCATCGATGGCCGGTAGGGGCACATTGATGGCAGACAGGGGTACACTGGTGGCCGGCAGGGCACACCAGTGGCCGGCAGGTGGCCGGCGGCTCCACCTGGTGGCCGGCAGGTTTCCACAAGTCTCCCCTGCATCCCTGGCTTTGTTTTATGTCCTTGGATTCCAAGAAGTGCAAGATATGTTTGGTGTTTGACTCAGAATGTCTTCACGGAAGCTTAGAATTGCGTTTCCAATGCACGATGGTCATCACTTATCAACATAAACAAGGTGTATCCTTTTTAACATATTGCGACTCTCCCGAGAGGTAAATCGGAAGTTGCCTGTCGTCTTTATCAAACAAGCTTTTGTCATTGCATGGAATGTGTATTTCTTTGTCGTTGCATGGAACATGCATTTTGCATTGTTGCATAGAACATACATCCCCATGTTTTCATAGAATATGCATGTTGCATTGAATATGTATTGTTGATTATTTTGGATAGAACATGCTCTCACTCACGCCGCATAGAATATGCTTTTGTTTTATTTCTTGCATGTTGTGCATAAAACATACCTCTCATATTGTGTCACGGTTATTCGTCTTGCATGGAACATGCATTCTTATTGCATTGTACCTGTTAAATTTCTTTCTTATGCAGGCACGATATTATATGTATGGTTCATTCAGAGGAACTCCAGGTAAGATCATTCCTGTCCCTTGAAAAACCTTTCTACTTAGAAACATTCGGGTACGCCCGGTGTTTACATCGCTCCTTGTTTTGGTTAGAAACATTCGGGTACGCCCGATGTTTACACCATACCCTTGTTGGTTAGAAATATTCAGGTATGCCCGGTGTTTACACCACACCTTGCTTTGGTTAGAAACATTGGGACATGTTCCCGATGTTTATACCACCTCCCGGCTAGAAGCGTTTGGGATGTGTTCCCGATGTTTATACCACCTCCCGGTTAGAGGCGTTTGGAACGTGTTCCGATGCTTATACCACCCTGTTTTTGTTAGAAACATTGGGACATGCTCCGATGTTTATACCACTCTCCGGTGGTTACACCACTCCCTTTTCCCTCTTGCGTGTGACGCGTTAGGATATTTTTGGTTAAAAACATTCAGGTACGCCCGGTGTTTACACCATCATCTTCTCCTCTCGCGTGTGGTGTGTTAGGACGCTTTGGTTAAAAGCATTCGGATGGGTTCCGATGCTTATACCGCTCTTTGTTTTGGTTACAAATATTTGGACGTGTTTCAATGTTTATCACTGTTCTCTTTGGTTCAGAATATTAGGGTGTGTCCCTGGGTTCACACCATTTCTCTCCTCGCGTGTGCCACGCGTTAGGATCTTGTTTCATACCTCAAGTGCGCCCAAGGGTTGTGTTGTTCTTTGCCTTTCCTTCGTGATGCGTAGTTAAGATTGCATAATTTTCTTACATCCTTTCTGCATGAAATGTGGTTTGGTTCATGGTTATTTGCTAATGTATAAGTTTGCTGTAGCATTTCTTTGCATAGCATTTGCATTTAAATGCTTCATTACAGCCACATTGCATGATCGTAAGTTATGTTCTGCATTGTGCATCCCATTTGCATTTTACCCCAGCCTACGGGCACCACTATGTATTATTATGTTGAATGTTTGTCTAAGTCTTGTGGCCTTATCAAAATAGGTCGTCTCTGGGCTTTGACATTCACTCACGTCATTTTGCAACTCTGAGTTTTGTCAAAGAGGGGCAATTGTAGACATCCCATTTTTGACCGTCCTCAAGACTTGGATGTTCTTGCAGGTACATCCGATGATGAGTTTGGTTGCTCGTCGAGCACTCGAAGTCCACGACGGAATGCCACAGGTTTGAGTTTTCCAAACCCTACATCCATTATGTCTCATTTTTGGACCATGTTTAGGTCCTTTCAACATTGTTTATGGCTTACCAGCCATCTTTGGGCACTGCCGGCCATGGCTCTTGGCCTGTCGGCCATTAATGTGCCCTGCCGGCCATCAATGAGCCCCTGCCGGCCATCACTGATGGTCGGTCGGCCGGCCACCAGTGCATCAGTAGATATTTTCTGATATTTTGTGCCAGCTGTTTGCACAGATTGAGGCATCTTCCAACACGTGTGTGGCTAGATCTTTTTGAGGGGATTTTGTATTCTCTATATATACAAGCCCTCTCTTGCATATGGAGGGGTTAGAAAATTTTGAAGATGAAAAAATTCTCTCTCTTTCTAGAATTCTCTCTCTTGATATTTTGTGTCTTATAGCCTAAATTCTCTGCACTTTTGCATATAAGCCCCTGATCAAACTTGATCAACATTGAGTTGAGGCTACTTGAGGCCCTCTTTGAGCTTTAGAAGAGGATATTGGCTTGCTTTGGCTTTATTTTGGTGCCTAAATTGCATATTGTCTTCAAGAGGTAGAATACTTGTGTTTTAAGCTTAATTTAAATACTTGCGTTGCCATCTTTACATACTGTTTTGAGGCTGGTTTTGACCTCTGAAAATCTCTGTTTTCATGGTCTAAAAATGGTGGTTTGAGGTTTGATTGGAGTTTGGGGTAGTCCACCCTTCTTGTTGCTTGATTATTAAGTTGTTGTGCCATCTTTCAAAGCTTTTAAATCAACCTTTTTGGCCCTTTTAACCACTGAATTTCAGAGGATTTTTAGTGGTAAAAACCAAGTTTTGAAGTTCAAAATGAGAGGGCTTGACCTCCCCGCCTTATGTCTTGCTTCCATGCCTAGGTTGCTTCACATATTAGCATGATTTTCTAGCTTAACCTAGCTTAATTCAAGCATGTTTTAGGCTTTATTTTGGCATGTTTCAACTCTGTTGTGGGCTGCTTGGAGCACTTGAGGCTTGCTTTGTATGCTTGTAGTGCAATTGTGCTTAATAGTTTAGCTTGTTCTATGTTTTGGCCACTTATTCTAGCTATTTTTAGCTTACTTCAAACATGTTTTAGGACACCTCCTAGGCTGTTTTAGGACTACTTTGAAGTGTTTGTACCTTTTGAGCTTTGTATTGCATGCTTATGGTGTAGTGATCTTCACTAGTTTGTTGTTTTCGGCTTTTAAAAATGATTGCATGTGTTGCTTACATGTTGTAGTGTCATTTTGCATGCAATTTCAGCACATATAATTAGGGATGGCAATTTGAAACTGGCCCGACGGTGACCCGACCCCCCGACCCCGAATTCAGCGGTTATTCACTGAAAAATATGCCCTACGGGCCGGGGACGATATTCAAATAGATCTGTTTTTTTTTTAATCTATTTTATAGATCTGTTTTTTTTTTAATCTATTTTATAGATCTGTTTTTTTTTTAATCTATTTTATAGATCTGTTTTTTTTTTAATCTATTTTATAGATCTGTTTTTTTTTTAATCTATTTTATAGATCTGTTTTTTTTTTAATCTATTTTATAGATCTGTTTTTTTTTTAATCTATTTTATAGATCTGTTTTTTTTTTAATCTATTTTATAGATCTGTTTTTTTTTTAATCTATTTTATAGATCTGTTTTTTTTTTAATCTATTTTATAGATCTGTTTTTTTTTTAATCTATTTTATAGATCTGTTTTTTTTTTAATCTATTTTATAGATCTGTTTTTTTTTTAATCTATTTTATAGATCTGTTTTTTTTTTAATCTATTTTATAGATCTGTTTTTTTTTTAATCTATTTTATAGATCTGTCCCTGGATATATATAGATTTGTTTTTTTTTAATCTATTTTATATTGAACCTTCTTCAGCTGGATTAGGAGTCTTTGAATCTATTTTTTTTTTTGTCTTTGAATCTATTTTATATTTTTTACAATATAGATCTGGTTTCCCAGATTTCGATCTATTTTATATTGATAATCAGTTGGATTAGGAGTCTCTCTAATCTTCTGGATGCTTTGAATTTTGATCTTGATCATGATATGGAACAAAGATTGGTTAGCTAATCTATAGATTTACATTTATGGAGCTTATTTTGGAAATTATTTGGTATTAAGTGTTGTTTTTGGAATTAAGATTGGAGTAGAGCAGTCTCTATATAGGCTTAAGTGTTGTTTTTGGCTATTTTGTATAGTTTGATAGGGAAGAAGGTTATACTTATTTTTTGAAGGAAAAAAAAAGAGAGTAGGTGTTCGCAATATTGTTAAATGATGATGTTTTACCTGAATGTTTAAAATTTTATTAAGAACATGCATTGGTCATCTATATAAACTAAGAAAGGTGCAGTATTTATTTGGCTTTGTTGATTCATATATGAGTTTTGTGCTATCATATATGAATCGATCAATTTCTTTCTTCTCGTATCACGAAAATAGGTTCATTTCATATTCATGTGTCTGCAGGAGTCTCTATGACAGTAATAATGAAATGCAAGAGAATAAAATAAAATGCATCACACACTATTTTGAGAGGATATGCTCTTGTATGCCTGTGGGTGTTGTCTCCTTTGAGCGTAAAGTACTTCCTTTGGAAAATAGCTTTCCTTGTGTTTCTTATCCAAAGGCTAATTTTTGGAGCACATCTTCTATTCCTCTCTGTCGTTTCAAGGTAACAAAGGAACATATATACTTGTTTAATTTGTGTGTACATTTTTGTTGGTTTAGTAACCCAACTTTCAATGGTTTACTGCAAGGATATGATGTTTTTCATCTTTGTTGTTGTTGTAGGTTTACAGGTCTGGCTTGATAGAAGATCAATCTTGTGAAGCTCTTGAAGTGGATTTTGCTAACAAGTATCTTGGAGGTGGTGCTCTTCACAGGGGTTGTGTACAGGTTTGCTTTCATGGAAAAGATGGACCCTTATTCTGATTATCAAATTATTTGGTCAATTAGAATTGTTCTTGACTTGTACTACTAGCCTTGTTTTATTCTCTTGCACATGTTCATGAAACCAAATTTAATTCAATTTCACTTATCCATGAAATAGCACTGATTGATTGCAGAGTTTAAGAAAAATTTATCTAATTCAAATCTTAGTCTCCAAAAATGTAAATTATTTGGTATTTTGATTCTATTGCTTCCTTGCATGTGGAGCTTATTCATGTTAATCTTAGTCTCCATAGATTGTTATGAAGAATGGGAAAGTTTCTACAAATTGGCTATGTTTCAATAAAGTAAAGCTAGTTTTACACTATGTTTGGCAAGCTAGAATAGAAAAGAAAAGAAATAATTTGTCAAGTTAAGAGAGAGAAGAAAATAAGAGAAAAGATTATGTTTTTTTTTTTTTAACTACATAAAAAAAATTAAAAAAAAAAGGCCCTCTTACAGCCAATATTACTAAATAAACTTTGATGTTTTTATGCATCACAACACTTCTTAGAAAACAAGGAACGATTATTGAGTACCAAGTGCTCTACTTTTGTAGGTCACAAAATGTTTATTGTTAGGAAACAAGAAAGGCTTATTGAATATCAAGTGCTCTAGTTTTGTAGATTACAAATTATGTATTTCTCTTTCAAGGGCATAGAACATTCATTTATTTTTCTTAATTTCTTAATCTGGTTTCTTTGCCTCTTTAATTTATATTGTAGTGTTTTATTATCTTCATGAGAGATTAGTTGTTAATTCTATGCTTCCATGATTGCAATTTCCTTTACTTAGTTGGATTAGTGTCTTCAATGGTTAGTTTTCATCCAAGTTTCATTATTTCAAATTGATATTATATATTACAATGTGGTAATTTCTTCCCTTGTTCTTTGTGAGAACTCAAACAGATGATGGAAGTTGTGTGGTTTGTATGGGTTTGAAGAAACAATGGATTTGCTTTTTTATGTTGTAATGGATATTTTTATTTTTATTTTTAATTTCAATTTTTGGGTAACCTATCCCTTGCGGGTTGTGCTTGGGATTAATTATTCTCTTTGCTACTTGTTGAATTTTCTTGTGTGATGCTGGACACATGTTTTGGTTGTGTTATTTTGTTGCTACAAGATGCTTTGTGTGTGGGTTGTGTATGTATGGGCTGCTGAATTAATGTTTATTGATGTTTTGCTACAAGATGTTTATTGATATTTATTGATCTAATTAATTAAAAAAATGAAGCTATTAGGGTTGATATTCCAACTGATAAATTCCAAAATTTATACATCCAGTAGTGAAGGGTGATTGAGAATGTTTATTGATGTTTATAGATTTTTACACAAAAAAAAAAAACCGAGGATTATCCAGGGTTGGGGATCCCCGATCCGCCGATCGGGCGGGGATGGGGCCGGGATAGGGTCCCCGTCGGGGATCGAGGACGGGGACGAAGGGGAGTATTACTTTCGGGGATCGGGGACCGGGGGGTAGTCCCCGGCCCCGCCCCGCCCCGCCCCGTTGCCATTCCTACATATAATATCTGTAACCTCCCTCATTTCTTCACTTTTTCATTTTCTTTGAGGTTGGTTAGCCTTCGGGTTATGTTTAAGCTTGAGATTGAGATTTGTGCTTAATAGTTTTAATCCTCCTTTTGAGGGTTTCTACTAACCAAAAGCATGAGGCTTCTTTCATGCTCAAGGTGCTTGTGGCTGAGGCCATCTTTCCCACTAGAGGACTTTCACATTGGACTTAATCGGTTAATGAATGACTCGATAATGTAAAATGTGTAAACAAGAATTGATCAAGTAAAACATGTCAAGATAAGCATGTTGTTTGTTTGCATTGCATTGTGTTCAATCGGGCGTTATGTTGAACACAAGGAAGATTGGAGCATTTCATACTTAAAGTGATGAAATGAGCCAATCTCCTTTGTCTCCATTGCCTTTGATCACACATGATAAGGTGGTGGTCTTGAGTCTTGTCTTTGCATACAATGAAATTGTACTCCTTGGTTCTTTGACCATCATGCATCGAAGATGCTTGGTTGGTGGTTTTGGATCCAAGAGTGCCACTCCTTTGAGGTTTTGAGATGATAAGGAGAGGCACAGTACAAATAAACCCCTGGAAAAACCTTCATTTTCCTCTGTTTGTGCTCTGTTGCAGGGTGATGACTCAAAGCACTTGTGGCCTGTAGTGGCTCATTGGTGGCTGGCAGTGGCCCACTCTTGGCCGACAAGGCTCATTTTTGGCCAGCAGGGGGCCCGCAGCAACCTCCCATGGCCGGTAGGCCACTGGTGCAATCCTCAGCAAGTTTTTGGTAAGGTGGAGCAGAAAGATTTTGTAGTATGGTCAACCCTGCATACAAAGCCTCTCGGGAGCAAAATGGAGGGCTTTTCGGGGCGAAAATCGAGTGCATGCATCTTCCACTTCCCGAAGCAGACCTAAGGCAATGTAGTTCAGTACTTTGCATGATTAGTTGGTGTACATTTGTGTTGTAATTTAATTAACTAGTTTGCTAATTAGTTAAAGTGTTGTAATAATTAGTAATTAGTTTGCTAGTTATTCATTTGATTTGTAATAATCAGTCCAATTAGTTTAATTAGATTAGTTAGCCTAGCCTAGCCTAGATTAGCTTAGCTCTTGTTTATTCATACCCTCCTTCGCGAGGGCACAATGTTGTAATAAGTGTGCGTGCGTGTGTGCATGTCTTCCAACCCCACATCTTTCTCCCTTTTATTTAATCACTTTTGATGGTTAGATTAGGGACATATTTCCAATTAGCATACCTTATGCTTGCATGTTTGCATCATTCATTTGTCTTGCATGCACCGAGACTCGGCACATCACTCAAACTGCATTGACAATTCAATACTTATTTGAATACGTATTTCAAAGCATGTTATCAAATTGTATCATATGCCATATTAGTAGCTGAGCCTATTTAATTTCATACTGCTTGTGTTGCATTAGGCATCTTGTATAGTTAGGACCATGCATTCTTTCTAACTAGTTTTTGTTTTGGCTTGGAGTACTCGATAAGTTTTATGCTTTAGCATACTTACATGGGTGTGATTGTCATATTGCCATGTTTTGCATGCTTGCCATGAGGCTATGTGCTTATTTGCTAAACTGCATGAATGCCTATGGATGAAGGCTTTGTTACTTGAATTGGAACAATTCAATGGATGTGTGTTTTAAGCCCACTTTGTCGTGGCAAAATCATGTTTTAAGCTCACTTGAGGGTGGCAAATTCAAACCATTTTCGAAAACAAACATGAGTTGAATTTGTTCCAATTCTTGCGATTTTAGTCTATACTTGCTTGTGTGCATCACATAGTAAAGCTAGATTAATAATTAGAACGAGAACACATAATGTTTATAAAAATTCATATCATGATTAGTAAAGGTCGATCTGTGATGAGGCAAGCCGGGGTGCTCATTTCAAGACCTTACCCTCTCGTACCCAAGTTCCCGAGCCGAGGTAACTTTGGTTATGACAGACACGTGGCCTTTGGCACGAGTCAGGGTTTCCTAAATTTTGCCAAAACAAAATATTTAGGTGGCGACTCTATATCTAGCAAAGCAGTTCAATTTTGGCATTATTTGATTCAAAATCAATTTTCCAAAATGATTTGCTGGATTGGACTCATTGGTGTTTATCAGTTTCACATTACACTTGTGAGACTAGATTCAGAACCACATGTAGAGTCCGAACTGTGAGGGCCTTTCTTTTCAAACCCTTTTCTGAAAGGCAGGGACGCATAAAAAGGCGAGCCCACAGGTGGCATCAGATGTGCCTTGATGAAGGCCGCATAGTCACCCTCTGCTCGGAAGTAGTCGGCATCTAAGCCCACCATAAACTGAATGACCTCATCAATAGATAGGCTATCTGCTGATCGCATGGACTCTGGCAGAGCCATCGGAATGATCGGGTCAGGCAGGTCCACAGTCTGGCGCGCGAACCGCTCACTCAGGAACCAGGCCCAGCAGACTGGGCCCTCGAGTAGGATGCGAAAGCGAGAAGTGGCCCAGGCCCCGACATACTGGTCCCAAATCCTACCTGGCATCATGGCCCATGGCTGCCATATGATCTACAAATAGAAGTTGTACAGATTATTAGTTGTTGTCAGTTGCTAAATGTGAATTAAAATAGTGTTAAAGCGAAAATGACTGCATTTCGGGTCACCTCATGAGCAGCCAAGGTGTCGAAGCAATGACGGAAGAACGTGAACGTAAACGACTTACGTTGTGTTATTTATTTGATTTCATGTATTTTTGAAAGTATTTTGAATAGTGCAATCGTGAAAATCAATTTTATTCCAAATTAAATAACACAACCTTCACACACTGGCATGCATAGAGTTATATTAAATAAGCACATAGCCACATGGTAGAATGCTAAACATAGTAAAAAAAAATCACACACAAGCAGGGTGCTAAAAAACAAAAACTTACATATTTACTAGCATCTCGCAAAAGGTACAAAACAAAGTTAGTAAAATATTCATGATTCTATATACAAGATCCTAATGCAATTCACTCATGAGATGCAACTACATATCTGGCTTTTAGTATATGACATGTAAATCAACTCAAAACGTGAGGTAGCGCACAAAATCACATAATAATCAATTAAACTCATAAATGCAATTTTAGCCGGATCTTAAGGCATAAAGCATGGATACAAACCATGGATATGATGAAAAAACAAATATACAGCATATGTACAAATATGGAAAGTAAATAAAAGAACGGGATAGATAGGAGCGGGGCGGAAAATTATTATATGGCTTTGAATATTACAAATCCGAATATAAGGGGGGAGGAAAAATAATAATTACAACAAATTATCCTCACAAAAACTCTCTAACTAAACTAAAAACAATAAAAACAGAAGTTGCAGGGGGCCTCGGAGACCGTCGAAGACTGTTCAGTTCGACACCGGGAGGCTGCTGGAGTTCTGTCTTGGAGAATACTGGCTGGCAAGCAAAAAGATGAGCTAACCGGCAAATTAATTGGCTGGCTAGCCAATCAAGCTAGGCTGAAAACCCTGTTTTGCTCAAACACCA